CATTTAGTAAAAAGCTGACATTACAAACAGACACTTCAATTTTATTTATTTGTATGGATGTCATTTTAATTGGTTTCTATATGAAATAAGTAGTTGATAAGAAATTCTAAGAAAGTAAAGCTATAAATAAAAATGTAAGTCTAATAGGTTTTTAAATACTGAAATTATTTTGCCTCTATTAAAGCAATTCACGCACTTACCTGCGTATGAAAGATGACAGTATTTTATCATAACTGGCAGCAATCTCACAGTGACTAACTTTGCGTTTATTCTATCGAAGAGATCTAAGAAAGAAAGCTATTAAAGTATTAAAGATAACGTTCAATCTAGTTAATAGGCGTGTAGCGGCAGAATAAGAGAAACCATCACTCCGTTTTAGACTTTGGATGACGTAAAAGGCGACTTAGTCCCACAGGCGTCTAATTCCCTCAAACTCCAGCAATTAATAAATTAAATAAATATTGTCGCTCTCTTGCCGCGGTTTTCCGGTTTCTTTTTAATTAATTTCCTGTGTTGCCAGTTACTTAATATGTTCATATTTTGGATCGACTTTTTTATTAATTAAGATTTTTGGCTTGGATACTTGTCCTTTAAGCCACGTCTTCATTTATCTCAATATCAAGTGATAATAATCATTTATAGGAGATTTTGACGGCAACTTGAGTCAGCAGACAGTTAACGATAGTATCTTAAGGCGTCTAAGCAGACAGACACCTTATTTTGAGATCAACATCAACATCGGAGCACCTGTTTCACCGTTACCACCCACAGTTCACCTACGCAGAAATTAAATAAACATATTCGCACCACTTTTTCATATCAAAGTCAGGTGCAGCAATCCGCTGCTGGCCAATTTCTCGCCAAACAATCTATGGAGCGGCTTTTTGATAGACTAAGCCAGAAAACAAATAATTTTTAATCTGTTATTCGTTTACAAATTTGAGGATATTGTTATAAAGTCGTCATTAAATCGCACCGCCGCTAGAGACCCGTGCAGCCAAATACCCGCAAAGTGAGCGAAACTTCATTGATTCGGGAAATGCCGGTAAACTTTCATATTTTCTGAAAGATGGCTATATTATAATTAACTTGTTCACACCAGATGAAAAATAGGGACAAAGAACTGAGACAACTGGTAATGAATAATGAGATTTTATACGAGGTAGAGCCACGCTGTAGCTACTCGTATATTGTGGTTGTAGCATGAATGGGTCGGCTCGACCGGAGTAGGACCACGCTTTCACAGAATACCAGCGTAAAATAGCAGCTTAATGCTGCTGTGTTTCGTATGAAGAGTGTATAAAACCGGAGACCCTTTTCATTACAAAAGAGGCATTCTTCTATGTGCTCAGGGGTGACAACGCGTTTGCATCTTGATTCTTTGTCATTAGATGCGTTGTCAGCCGTGAGGACTAAGATGGAATGCCTCTTTTCCAGTAAAAAGGGTCTCCGGTTCTCTACACTCACCATACGAAAAACAGCAGCATTAAGCTGCTATTTAATTTAATTGCGGATAAATGTCAATTTATATGGGCCACCGCATCCATTTAACATCAGATGTATTGTGTGCTCTTTTGTAACGCTCATTTTATAAAAAAGGCAAATCGTCCATGCAACGGGAGTGGCTCAGAGAAAGCAGTGGACTTTTACAGACTGATGATAATAATGATGAGAATTTTGGTTTAATTTGCTTTCTACTGATACTGAAGTGGCAGTGAGCCGGCCACATAACTAGAAGAACTGACCACCGATAGGAAAGAATTCTCGAGCGGCAGCCTTGTACCGACGAAGTGTAAGGCAGCCTCCCACTAGATGGAGTGACGACCTGGTAAGACATGCAAGTGGCTCAAAGCCGTGCTTCGTGGCATTCCTTGGGGGAGATCTATGTTCAGCAGTGGAATTGTGAAGGACTGTTGATGATTATGATGATTGAATAAACAGTTGAATTTCTAGTTTTGCATTAAAATAATTCATTTACATAAGTAGCAACTTTTTACCTTAGATTCAATAATTTGGTAATGTAGTGAAAAACCGACATCAATATTATGAATTCCAGAAGGTACATTAAATCATGGCGTGACCACATCGTTTCTTTGACCACGCGATACTGTTATAGCTCTTGATAGATATTTACATTTTGTACTCCTCAAGCGGAAAAGATTATAAGTCTTAGTATTGATGAAATTTAGGGCTTTGGGGAGAGCGATGACAGACGGTCGCTCGACGGTGACGCTGTAACGGGGCATAATGATAGAGTGAAATTTGCTTTATAACTGATATTTTTAAAATTGGAAAATAATAGACTACTTCATACCTGTATAACGTGCTGGTTTCGTTTAAATTTATATTAAATAAGAATCCGATAAATATTAATTTTGAACCGAGTTCCAAAATCAAGCAATTTCTATATTCAACGTAATGATTTCTTATGTTTACGAGAACACTACACATTTAAATGAAATTAAGTTTTACGAATTTTATCACGTATATTATATTTTATTCAGACTTATTAATAAGTTAATATACGCGATAAAATTCGATAGAGAAAATACGAGACTTATTTAAATCTATATTCGACGTGTATATTATTTTGATGTAGGTATGTTCACCGATTTCTTGGGAACGACTGAATCTAGTTTAGTGATTCTTCTTTTATTGAATGGGTTATACTTAAGGTGTGACACAAAATTTAAGAAAAAAGAATTCCCTGAAATGGAGGATAATAGGGCGTCAATTTTTTTTTTACGTAACTATTAAGATGGTACCTTCTTGTTGTTACCTTGAATTTGTGATATTCCTTACTCCTCTCAAAAGAGGAAATAATTAACCTTTATTTAAGTTTAATTATAGATAAACAAATTTTACTTATAATAATTTATTTGAATAATATTTATTGGTTTTTTGGGGCATCTATATAGTTTACTCATCTGGTTGGGCTGTATAAATATATAATTGTAAATGAAAGTGATAAACATACATAAATATCAACAAAATAAAATAAATACAAAAAAAACATAAATAAATAAAAACTCATCCAGATGAAAGCCCTCGGCAGGGGAGACCAAACGGCCGAGGGTTAGGGGGAAAGGGAAAGAAACCGGCGGACGATGCGGGCGGTATCGAGGAGAACCGCCTTCTGAATTTGAGCTTGGAGTGGTCCATCACAGAGTCCCAGTCGCCTCAGATGACCCGAGAGGCTGACTGGGATTAACCCGTTCGTAGAAACGACTACAGGTATAATTTCGGCCGGCAGTCCATCCCACATGTCGGTCACCTCGTGAGCCAGGTCCAGATATTTTGTTCGCTTATCTATTTCGGCTTTCACGAGGGTCTCGTCATACGGATGGTAATGTCGACCAAAAATATCCTTGACTGTGCCCGGTCCATCAGCACAATATCAGGCTTATTCGCAAGAATGGTCCTGTCTGTGATGATGGCCCGGTCCCAGTAGAGCCTGGCGGGGTCATTTTCGAGCACGGCTTCCGGCATGTACTTATAATAAGGCAGTTTCCGATACACGAGACCGTATTTCAGAGCGAGCTCCTGGTGTAGAATCCTGGCTACTAGGTTGTGCCTATGCAACTACTTATGACATGCCTAAGTGATTCACCGGGATGGCGACAAGCTCGACAAATGTCGGCGGTGCCATCCCTTAGGATGTATCTGCGATAGTTGTTGGTCTTAATAACCTGATTCTGTATTGCACAGGGATGGCAATACAGGATCAGGTTATTATTGGTTTTATTATTAAGTTATTTATTGCTGTTAGAATGAAAATTTTATTGAATATTTTCAGTTGTTTTTTCACCTCGCCTTGTGTTAAGTATGCTGAAAGTAATTATGTCTGCTCTTGGTTTCCTTTATGCATATAATAATAATATTGCATATAGCATATAATAAAAAATGATTTTTTTAATTAGTATAGCGTAAGAAAACTCATCTCACTTCATTTCAAGAGTTTCGTATGCGACAATTTTCTTGTAGGAATGTTCTTGTAGGAATGTAGGAAGTTGATGGATGCAGTTGGCTCGCGACCATGCTCTTTTACAGGCTTGCAGTGGAGATGATTCGGGGAAGTCATAATATATATATATATATATATATATATATATATATATATATATATATATATTTCATTCTAAACATGTTCACCATTTTATTTTATAAAACCAAAGTGACAACAACATTATATTCAACTTGATGGTAAGTAGTAGCCTTGAATACCAAGAATCAATATCAAACAAAGTAGACTATATGCGCTGCCACATCTGAGTGTTAAGATGGAACACCTCATAGCCTGTGATTAAATTGGTATAGTTGTAGCACGAATGGGTCGGCTCGATCGGAGAAGGACCACGCTCTCATAGAATACCAGCGTAAAATAGCAACTTAACACTGCTGTGTTTCGTATGGTGAGTGTAGAGAACCGGAGACCCATTTTACTGCACAAAAGGCATTCCATCTTAGTCCTCACGGTCGACGACGCATCTGTATTTTGATTCTTTATTGAGGACAGATGTAGATTTCTATGGGTCACCATTTACCATCAGGTGGACTGTATGCTCGTATGTCACCCTATCCTATTAAAAAAGCACTGCTATTTGAGGGCAGAAATAGGTAAGAGTTAGAGAGCAGTAAGAACTAAGATGCGGAAAAATCTTTTATGATTAATATCAAGTGCAATGCGAGAAGTAAAGACTGTGTAAGAACCTCCGAAGAAGGCGGAGTTATAGCCGAAATCAGAATTTAATTATTTTTGGTTTTGGCCATTTTGACCCCCTGGGAGTGTAATGAGATCTTTTTGCCTCTATTCAACCATGATCTACATGACATCCTCTACATGATAGGTTATTCAAACTGACTAGGCCTAAAGTTCTAGTCACCCCCGCAACTCATTTCTAGTCTTTACTTCCAGTTAATATGAATGTATCTGTCTATCTGTAACGTTGGTAAACGATATCTTATAATTACATAATGTACTACGAATGTGTGATACTTACATGACAGCGATCTCCTCGACGTAGCAGTTTCCGAAAATCCTTCAGGTTTTTCTATTATAGGTTCCTCATCAAAATATAGTGATCTTCCCTGAAGTTCTGGATCTCTTATAATTGGTATCGCTCTTGGATGAAATGTGACTTCATTTGGAGGGGAATCTTTTACCATGTTATCATTACTTCTTTTGTCTTTGGCAATTTGAAAATAATTACCAGGGTAAACTTCAGGTTTGTACTTGTTATTGTGTATATTCACATTGTTCCGTGAATAGTACACATTGTTTTCAAGTTGGAGTTGCTCCTCCTGTAGTGGTATCGCACGGGACCTAAACGCATACTTGTAATCAGGGGGAGTTCCTTTCAAATCTTTCGTTTGTCGCGAAGAAACTATTTGAGCGCGACCATAATTAGTTGGCTGTATCACAATGGAGGCACTAGTCACATTAACTACAGCAGATCCATCACTATTTGATGTGCTTGATAAAGACCAAAGTTTCGTTAAATTATCTTCGTAATCTTGGTGAGCTGTTGTTAACACAGTCAAGCATGACACAATTGTAAATTGAAGCCGCATTTGGCGCTTCATATTGTTATGTTTTTAATTACTAATGAATTAGTGACGCGTCACTGGTTGCACAGTTGATGACACTTCACTTTCTTCTATTAAATTAGTGCTTAGACCCTCACCCTGTTCGTACCATCATTTTGTTGCAAGCGATCGCGCAAAACTGAATCACTATCGTTAGACGGCGTTATATTTATACATGTGTAAGTATAAACTTGCGTTTTTCCCGACTGTTTACGGTCGGATAATCTCGCGGAACCTACCACGGCTTAGTTGCAATTCCAATATTGACGAAATGTAGAGTAGCCCAAAATAAAAACGAGGTGCGTCGCATGACTTTGTCGGAACACTACGCGCTGCTTCTTTCGCTAATGACTCTTAGCTCCATACAACACAATCAATTTCCTCGGGTAAGTACCATGCTAACTCGTAATTTGTCATGTCGTTATAATACACTATTATTTGGTCTTATTTTCATGTCAGAGCAATCTGTTACCATTAAATCTTGAAATGTTTATGAGAAATTGTTTCCGATTGTTTCAAAAACTTTCAGAACATCTATTTTTAAGTAATATAGTGGATTGGCGGACTTCACACGTCTTCAATTTTTTTTTATTCCTCCGACAATCAGGTTGCCCCACGATGTTTTCCTTCATCGCCGAGCACGTTTCGTTCAATTTCATTGGTGCCTGCGAGGATTTAACCCGGGGTTGCTGGCGTATTTTGAAATTTGCAGCAAGCCCTAAGCTGAGCTACCACGACGATAAACCCTTTCAGGAGTGGGAGGAGGTCTATGCCCAGCAGTGGGATGTATAAAAATATTAATAGACTGTGGGGAACATTCTGATCTGATTTGATTTTTGAAAAGGCTATTGGTTCAGCAGTGGAATACGTAATCATTAAATAATTAAAAATTAAAAATTTTGTACAACCGACTTCAATATACATTATTTAAAAAAACTATAAGTCAGACCTTGATCAAATTTATATGGGACCACATGAGAAGTACCAACTTTCAAATAAAAAAAGAATCATTGAAATCAGTTCTCCCAGAAAAAATTTATGAGGTAACTCACAAAAAATCATACAGTCGAATTGAGTACCTCCTCCTTTTTGAAGTCGGCAGAAAAATAAAACTAAATCAATGGTTTAGTTTTGCTTCAATTTCGAAAGCCATTATGTAAATATTTTTACGCTATTAATGGTACACATTGAGTGGTCTATAGGTCACAAGTACAATTTAACAACTAGAATGTCGTTTAAATATGTACGTTAAATATTCATTCCCTATTTTCCCACCCTTGGGCATATAATATTTCCATCCCAAAGGCTGCAATATAAAGGGATGGGACCATTCCTGAAATACCTACTTAATAAATAATTTTTAAAGTTACCCCCACACTAGAATTTTCTCCTGTATAGTGGAGGCAGTTTACAAACACAAATTGCACTAGGACAAACATCCAGACCGGGAAAAATTATTTGTAAGTCATATAAATACTTATTCCGTGCGGGATTCGATCCCGCGACCCCCAGCGCAGCAACTAATTGTTAAGCCACTGCGCCACGGCCCGTCATTTAAATCGGTTCAGCCACTTTTGAAAAACCGATGAACACACATAAACCTCTCTTAGGTTTGAGTTTTCGTCCTCGCACGATTTCTTTATGGAATTCTTTACTACCGGCGATATTTCCGGAGCGATACGACTTAGGTATCTTTATAAACTAACTTACTTCTATTTAAAAGGCTGACAACGTACCATCAATTCCCCTGGTGTTGCAGTTGTTCGATGTGGCGGTCGACACTTACCAGCCGCATACTTGTTTGCCCCTCTTCTATAAAAAATATCGTACACTTCGACGAGTATCACCTACGTATAGAATCTTCTTGTTACTGATGATCAATGAGGATATGAAGATGGAGTGACGACCTGGTAAGACACGAAGAAAGTCGAAGGATGCAGGTGGCTCAAAACCGTGCTTTTTAGCATTCCGACTTGTGAAGGGCTGTAAAGATGATGAGGTAAATATGTGAAATATATAAACTTTAAAAATAACAAAACTGACTGCACATAAATAAAATCATCGAAATCACTTTGACCTGGTAATGAATTATTTGTTCATCACCATCCCATCGTCAGATTTATCTTGCTTTAAAAGCAAGAAAGCAAAAGCAAGATTTAGACCCAATTTTTAAGAGACCATCCTTGAGTTATCACCTTGCAAACAAGCTCGCTCCATACATATATTATTTTCTAGATTATTATTGTATTTTATAAAACGACCTTTAATTCTTTAAATTATTCAAAAGTAACTTTGTTTAGCGTTGGTTCGTGACAAGGCCTAATGAAACGGTAGAGTTTTTGATAAATTAGTCATTAGCTTATTCAGTATTGAAAGCCCTGCTATTCCATCACAATTAATAGCCGCTCAGACATAACGATATTGCGTTTAAATTCTATTTCAGGGAAAAGCCCTGTCCTCGAATTATAGTTTTGATCAAATTAATCCAGAGACTTACCAATTTCAATAATGGGAACTACGGGGATAATTTGAAGAATAATGTAGTTTCATAACATTTTTTTTTGTTTGGCCTTAAAGAAACAAAATCTGAATACATACCCATACATAAAACCGCTGAAGTATAATATTTATTTAAAAATTCTGTGTACTAAAGGTACAGTTGTTAGCAGTTTTATGAAAGGAATGTTTCGGTAGTATTTTTTTTATAGAATAAGGGTGACAAACGAGCAAACAGTCCATCTGATGGTAAGTAGTTGCCGTAGTCCAGACATCTAAAAGTATCCTCAATTAAGAATCAAAATACAGACGCGTTGTCGCTCTTGAGGACTAAGATGGAATGCCTCATTTCCAGTAAAAAGGGTCTCCGGTTCTTTACACTCACCATACAAACCACAGCAACTTTAAGCTACTATTTTACGCTGGTATTATGCGGGAGTGTGGTACTTTGTAGCATGGCTCTAACATGTTTTACGTGGTAGAGCTATGCTGCAGCTATATTAATAGTATACAATCATACTATTAATATCATAACATAGTATAGTTGTAGCAGGAATGGGTCGGCTCGACCGGGGAAGAACCACGCTCTCACAGAATACCAGTGTAGCGTAGAACCGGAGACCCTTTTTACAGAAAAAGAGGCATTCTATCTTATTCCTTACGGCTGCCAACGCATCTGCATTTTAATTCGCTAACGAAGATAGATGCAGATGTCTATGGGCGACAGCAACCACTTACCATCAGGTGGACTGTGTGCTCGTTTGTCAACCTATCCTATAAAAAAATACAAATATTTGTTCCAAAAAAATACTTCCCTAGTCGAGCCGACCCATATGTGCTACAACTAAATCACTAATATAGCTGCCGCATGGCTCTACCACGTAAAGGAGATGGCGAGAATGTATGTATTTTGGGACCTACCGATAGGAGTAGCGTTTTTCATGGAAACTCATTAATAGTTGAGATCGCGATAAGACTAACAAAAAAGCAAATGGGAAGTAAGTCTAAAAAAGTAGGAGAAAAAATATATACTTAAAAATAGCAAATGACCTTAAAGTAGAAATTGACCAAAAATTATTATTCAAAAAACACCTATTATAGGTAGATGTTATTGCTCCGTTGTATCTGAATATTATTTGTTTTAATAAGTCTAGCCAGATACATTGGCTGGCATACTGATATGGAGACCTAAGCCGCATGCTCGTTTGCCCCCTCTCCTATAAAAAAAAAATATTCTATAGTCTAACATTACAGTGGTATTGTTAATTCGCATTTATAATCAAACTACTGCACATAATTATTTATGTTGCTTTAACCTAATTATTACTTGCTGGAAGAGAGATGTAAAATGACCAGCTGTGGGACAATTTCGATTATCAATGAAAAGGGAAACAAGTTATTACGGCGAAAGCAATTACAATAAAAAATAATGACAGGGGCTGTTGTGGCGAACAGAGTATATAATCACCAAGTTTATTGGAGAATAACCTTCTGTTATTGCAAGAAGACCTATTTTTTAATAAATCATAATTATTTTTTACTTTTGAATCCCGTAGTATAGAGCCCCAATAATTTTTATATAAACATTGTATGAACTTATAATTATATTAAATTAAACTTGCATAAGCACGATGCTTCGTTAATTTTACAATATGTGTGTCCATTTTCACCATTGGCCTTTGTGATTTAGTTTAGGTTTGGTCATGTAAAAAGAATGTACGAGGAAAGAGTGTCAAAGCAAATTTATGTTACAGAAGTGAACGACAGAGTTGGTAAGGGATGCCCTATACAAATTTTATCGACCAATTTAGAACATTAACCAGATTAAGAGTACCCTTAACCGACGAGCATACGTAGATATATGGATGTAAGGGAGGTAGGATACGTGTGTCACGATTGTAACAAATGGAAGTCCGTAGTCTCTGCCTACCCGTCTGGGTGACAGGTGTGAGTGTTTATGTTAAACTAGCTGTACCCGCGACGTTGCACGCGTGCTTTTTATTACTATTGGATTTTATGGGTTTTAAGTTTTTTTTTGCGCGGAAATCTAATTCTTTTCCTAAAATAAAAGTAGCCAAAGTTACTCCCTATAATATTAGCTATCTGCCAGTGAATGTCCCGTCAAAATCGGTCCATCTGTTTCGGAGATTAGCCGGAACAAACGGACAGACAGACAGTCAAAATTTTTAAAAATTGTGTTATTAAAATTTTTGTTTGTCATAAGTACCGTGTATACATTTATGTGCATTTAGTTAAAAGCTGTTATTTCGAAATTACAAACAGACACTTCAATTATATTTATTTACTAGCTGTTCCTCGCGACTTCGCCCGCGTGTTATTTAGAGTTTTAATTTTTTTGAGCGGAACCCTAATTCTTTTTCTGAAATAAAATTAGCCTAAGTTACTCCTTGTGACATCAGCTATCTGCCAGTGAAAATCCCGTCAAAATCAGTCCAGCCGTTTCGGAGATTAGCCAGACAAACAGACAGGCAGTAAGACAA